GGGAAGATACGGAGACAGTGACAGATTTTACTTTCTTGGGCTCCATGATCACTGCAGATGGAGACAGCAGCCACGAAATTAAAAGACGCCTGCTTCTTGGGAGGAAAGCGATGACAAACCTTGACAGCATCTTAAAAAGCAGAGACATCACCTTGCCAACAAAAGTCTGAATAGTCAAAGCTATGGTTTTTCCTGTTGTGATGTATGGAAGTGAGAGCTGGATCATAAAGAAAGCTGACCGCCGAAGAATTGATGCCTTTGAATTGTGGTGCTGGAGGAGGCTCTTGAGAGTCCCCTGGACTGCAAGGGGAACAAACCTATCAATTCTAAAGGAAATCAACCTGGAGTGCTCACTGGATGGACAGATCCTGAAGCTGAGGCTCCAGTACTTTGACCATCTCATGAGAAGAGAAGACTCCTTGGAAAAGACCTTGATGTTGGGAAAGTGTGAGGGCAAGAGGAGAAGGGGACGACAGAGGATGAGATGGCTAGACAGTGTCTGCGAAGCAACCAATATGAATTTGACCCAACTCCAGGAGGCAGTGGAAGATAGGGAGGGCCTGGCATGCTCTGGTCCATGGGGTCACGAAGAGTCGGACACAACTAAATGACTAAACGACAACGATTTTCCCTAGCATCCTGCAACACACAACATTATAGTGAACCATAAACAGAGAGCTGGGGTTTGGCAGAGGGTGGGATTAAAAGAAGGGGAGCTGTGGTCTGTGACACATATCCAACTGCATCAGATTGAGGGGCCAATGTGGATACTGGTACCAAAGCAATCCAGAGTCTCTCTGTGATCTCCTAATCCGAATAAAAATGTAAAATACTGTAGGGTGTAAATTAAGCCTCAGAAAGCCGAATCATCCAGAATCAGCTTGTCAATGTAGTTGTAGCCTAATTCATATTTTAACAATCCCTGAAAAGGAAACTCCATAAAATATGCCAGCACAATATGAGTTGGGATGAGGTTTTAAGAAGATATTAGGTTGAATTTCACACCAAAATGTTTACTTGTAATTCTGTCTTACCCTATCGTGTGTTACAGAGTACAAAAGTAAAGCAACATGAATCAGCAATGTGAATCAGCAAGGCAGGTGAAACAGAGAAAGCAGAGCCTTTTTGTGTTTGCGCCAATTATAGGTTATTTTTTTCCCAATAAGTTTTGCATATTTGATCTATCTTCCATTCCTTCAGCATTTTGGTTCATTCTTTGCCAGAATTAGTTCTTTGCTACTTCATTTCCCAATCTGCTTCTTTCATATATTATTGTTTTCATTGTGATTGTGTGTTATTGTATACTGTTAATTTATTTCAGCCATCATTTAATATAAAAGGAGGGATCCATCATTAAACAAAAGGAATAAAATGGACATAGAATTTAAGTTTATGGATGCAAATTTAGAATAAATTACTATAATTTAAATAGAAATTCTCTTACAGTCTTTCAGATGGAAAACTGTCCTCTGCAAAAGTCTGTTTCAACCTTCCCTACATATTCCCCTGTCAATAATAAATTTCACGGCAACTTTGTGCATACTGGAAACCTTAAAAGAGAAGGTTGTCAGGTCTCAGGTTTTGGTCTTAGTTGGGGGGGGGGTTAGTTTGAGTTTCAAGGTTTAGACCTGAAATCTAGTCAATAGTTTTCAGAGAGGTAGCTGGAACTGTCTGTTTTTGCATGTATAATAAAACAGAACAAAAACAAGTATTGTGGCACCTTAAAGCTTTATTTCAGCATGAGACTTTGTGGGTTGTTATGTTTTTGCTGTATACCCAGTAAATGAAATGCTGCTTTCTTAGCAATCTAGATCTAGGGGTATGTTCTCATGGTTTCAAGATACACTATTTGGATGTGCACAGAAGCATCCTTGTCTGTTTCATTATCTTACATGCTCTAGAACTGCTGGTGGAATTCACAAGTTAAGGTATATTGCTGGTCACCCACATAGTATTTTTGTAACTGCTGCTGAAAGATACACTTCCCCATTATATCGCAATGACCCTGCCTGAGGTCTTAAGCTTTGGGAATGGCATGCAGCTGATCAGGCAACCTTACTGAAAAGGGAAGCACAGTTCCCTCACACTTCCTCTTTTCATGCTTTTAATAATCTCCCTCTGCACATGCTTACAATTGATACTAACAGAACTGCTGCCAATACAAAAAAAGTCCAGTTGAATTCAGTGAGGCTTACTCCCAAGGAAGTCAGCTTTAAAATTAGAAATGTATTGTAACCAATTACTCTCTTAGGTATTAGAACCATAACTACAATTACTTACTTTATCAATACAAGTTTATGAATTTTGATTTTGAAAAACAAGGCAACACAAAGGAAGAAACTACACTGTCTCAAACTGCATTCTTTCTTTTTTGCAGCCTGATGATATGGACCTGACCCTTGGAGTGGTGAAGGCTACCACTTGTCTGTTAGATCCTTGCCCATCCTGACTTATAAAAGCTGCCAGAGAGGGACTGGCCAAGTGGGTCCAAGGGGTAGTGAATGCCTCCTTGCAGCTTGTTTGAAGGAGACAGTAGTAAGACCGTTACTGGAGTGAATGCCTCCTTGCAGCAGGGTAGGATACCAGCTTGTTTTAAGGAGACAGTAGTAAGACCGTTACTGGAAAAAAAAACCCTCCTTGGACCCCACAGTACTGGATAACTACTGGCCAGTCTCTAATACCTCATTATTGGGCAAGGTGCTGGAGTGGCTGTAGTTTCTCAACTCCAGAGATTCCTGGATGAGACAGATTATCTAGATCCATTTCAATCTGGCTTTAGGCCTAGTGATGGGACAGAAACCATTTTGGTTGACTTGGTGGGTGACCTACACCGGGAACTGGACAGGGGGAGTGTGTCCCTGCTGGACCTCTCAGGAGCTTTCAATACCATCAACCATGGTATCTTTCTGAGCTGTCTCTCTGGGATGGAACTTGGAGGCACTTCTTTTACAATGGCTCCGGTCCTTCCTGGAGGATAAAACTCAGAGGGTGGGGCTGGGGAACTCTTGCTCAACAAGAACACAGGCCAATGACCAGGGTGTCCCTCAGAGATCTGTTTTGTCCCCTATGCTACTTAACATCTACATGAAACCACTGGGAGAGGTTGTCCAGAGTTTTGGGGTTTGGTGTCACCAGTATGCTGATGACACCCAACTCTATCTCTCCTTTCCAATTTAATCCAAGGAAGCTGTCTCGACACCCAACTCTATCTCTCCTTTCCAATTAAATTCAGGGAAGGTGCCTTGGTTCTAAATCAGTGTGTGGTGTCAGTAATGGACTGGATGAGCGTGAATTCACTGAAATTTAATCCAGACAAGCCAGAGGTGCTCCTGATCAGTTGAAAGCCAGATGAAAGAATAGGGTTGCAGCATGTGCTGAATGGGGTTACACTCCCTCTGAAAACACAGGCATGCAGCTTGGGGATGCTCGTGGATTCATCTCTGAGCCTGGATGCCCAGGTTTCAGCAGTGGCCAGGAGTGCCTTTGCACAGTTAAAACTAATGCGGCAGCTGCACCCGTTTCTTAAGAGGTATGATCTGGCCACAGTGACACATGGCCTAGTTACATCTTGGTTGGATCACTGTAACACACTCTACATTGGGCTGCCTTTGGAAAGTGTTTGGAGACTTCGGAAGGTCCAAAATGCTACCATCCAATTGTTAACTGGGACTGATTACTGGGAACATATAACTCCCCTGTTATAGCAGCTCCGCTGGCTGCTGATCTGTTTTTGGCTTTCTAAATGCCTAGTTCCCATTATTCCCTGCAGTATAGCTAGGGGTAAGGATTGTGAGTGTAGTCAGAAACATCTAGAGGACGAAAAGTTTTCTACACCTGCTCTTTGGGAATCATCACAATATTCACAATTCCTTTCTAGTCAGTGCACCCCACACCATTAATTGAGAAGTTCAGCTTTTCTTCTCATGTGCCAGTTCAGTACACTACACTACCTGCTGTGGTAAGAAAGATTCAAGGTAAGTTGGGGAGGAAAATGGATAACTGGACACATATTTGATTCCTTGAACAAAAACTGAGAATCCAGCATATTGGATCCAACATATTCTGTTATGGGGTTTACCATTCCCTCAAAGTAATTGCAATTTATGAAATTTAAAGTTACATTGTGTTGTATATCTATATGGGCTATCAAGCCCATATAGATATACAACACTTCAGGTGCTAACACTAAATACAGTGATGGGATCACTGTGCAGCTGTGCTGTACTTGAGAAGTGATGCAGCATAATGCAAATGGTTATGACATATAAGTAAAAAATATATACATAATAATGCAATTATCTAAACATTGAGAAAACAGAGTGGAGGGTGGGCTTTGTGTAGATAGAGGGTGAGGAGAAAGCACACATATTATTAAAATAAACTATATCCATAATAACACAATTATTTAAATGCAGTTTAGAGCATTAGCATTTATGGGAAGTGCTATAGGAATTAAATGTTTGTATTACCGTATACAGTATTGCATTTCAAGTTAAGTTCAGTAGTAATAAGGAGAAAGAACTAACTGAATGCATTTCTGATGCAGACAGATTCTATGGCCAAACTATATGTTAGGGGAAAAAATCCATAATTAGAAAAGGGACTTTCTAAACTTTTAACAGTTTTTCTCTGAGCAGAAGCCAGTAAGAATTAAGCAGCAATTAATCTTTGGATCACACTGAACTCAACACTGTTTTAAATTAGAAAACTATTAGGAAGCCATGAAGCAGGGTGAAGAAGAAATGCACCTAGAAAATGCAGATTAATATGTTAAAAGATGTAGTGTGAAAAGCCTTAACTGGCAAAAAAGGCAACTGAAGATTTGTATTATCTATTACTGCACCTTGCTCTTATCATGCTAAAGCATTAATTGTGATGTAATGGCAATGAAAATGAACTCACCTTTTTCCTAAGAGATATCATAACTGAAAATCCAGATGCTATAAAGGCACACAAGTCATTTAAATACAGGATAATCTGAAATAGCCATTCCCTTTCTGCTTCTGTAAAAGTGAAGGAAAGGAGAAAACAGATGCTATAAGTCATCTTACTTGGATGTACATATTAATACTGAAAATATATAATACTAGTTTTTAGATAAAATCATATTGCTTACCTTTAATAAGAACATTGTTTTGAGTTAGTAGTTTTTCTTCCAGTAATTTTTCCTTTAAATTCAGCTGATGTTGGTCATTTTTTACTGAAGTATGTATTTTCTTTTCTGTATTTTCTGGAGGAATATGTTTTTCTTTCAAATTTTCACCGTTGTTAAGTTTCTTATCTGCATTCAAAAGACAGTCTACCATGAGTTTTATCCACATTGGTGATACTAACAAATAGGTGTGAAGTGATAAACTATCAACAAAATTTTGGCATATTAGCCAAGCAAGATCCATCTGTAGATTGGCATCCCTTGACAGCAAAATGTGGATTTTCTCCCCATTCCTTTGGGGTTGTTAGCATGCAAAAAAGGGAGCTACAGAAACAAGGGAGTTACCAATTCTGAAATAGTGGGATCAACCAGACGTTGACCATTGAACTATGGGAATTGTTTTCAATATTTCTATCTAGATCTGTTTGGGTTTTTTAAATTTGTATAAATGTTTGTTTAAATAACTCAATCTAACCTAATATACACATTTCGTCAATGATGATGGATTAAAATAAAGACCATTAAGAAATCACAAAGCCATTAAATGATTGATAGCCCTTCTTTTGTACCAATCCTATTATGTGCCGAGATCCTATACTGTATTTGTTTTGGAGATGTTGCATCTTCCACAAGGTCTGAGAAAGTTAGCCATTAAATGATTGATAGCCCTTCTTTTATACCAATCCTATTATGTGCCAGGATCCTATATTTGTTTTGGAGCTGTTGCATCTTCCACAAGGTCTGAGGAAGTTAACTTGTCCATGAAAGTTAACATTAAAATACGTATAGCCATTAGTTTTTTAAATGCCACAACTTTTTGGTTTTTATTTTTGTTTTTGCCTGATCTGCTAGCACAGACCAACACGGCTAACTCTCCTAAAACTTTCCAAAAATATGCTGGTCAAAGGAAATAATTATTCACGTTTTCTATTCTGAATTATGTGTCTAGTAACCTAGATATAGCAAGATGCATCAGGATATTAGTACTATGCTCTTTGGTGGGTCATTATCCTACTGACCTGTAACCTTAAAAAAGGCATAAGTTTCTTGTCACATTTTACACTGGAAATAAAATCACATCAATCAGATGGTAGTTGTTTTTAAGCTACTTTTTTTCTTGCTTTGCAACTTTTACTATCAAAAGAGTAGTCTAATACCTGATTCTGCATTTTGATCTCCACACTTGTTTCTGATGTCCATCACAAGACTTTGTAGCTTGAGAAGTAAATATGTTTTCTTTTTCAAACACTCCTCATGTCCAGTGTTTAATTTATGCTCATGTTCCACTGAAGTGGCAGTTTGCCTCCTTTCTCTATAAATACCTTCACAGGGAAAAGTGGTGATGCCACGATGTAGTTTTTCCAATTCTTGCTCCATTTGCTGCAGCTGGTGCCTTTCACACTTAGGTGCTTGATTTATCCTTTTTGATTCCTCAGTTAGTTTTGAATACAATTCATGGAAATCAGTGACAAAGCTGGTTTCTTTCAGGCCCAACTCTGTATCAATTATCAATTTACCATTTTTAGCAGTTTCCTGGAAACCAAGCTCTGCCTCTTGAATAGCAGATGTAACATCTTTTTGGTTGTTGTCATTTCTGAAGTCTGTGGTGGCAGATTTTTCCTGAGTGCTGTGTATTTGGACTCCTGACCTCTGTTCCATTATTGTAAAGTTCTCTAAATCACTGATAGCTTCTGTGCTCTGAACTTCGTGTTTGTCTTGCTCAAAATCACTTCCTACTGTATCAACCTCATGCCTGTCTGTACTGATCTGGTTTATTATAATATTTCTGCTATCTGAATTTTTTGTAAACTCTTTGTTATACCTGTTTTCAAATAATCCTCCTAATAACCATGAGGTTTTACTAAAAATATCACTCATAACTCCTTCCTTGCCTCTCTTGTCATTTACATTCCCATTGCTCTGAGATGAAATTCTAAATTTCTCCACTTCTGTATCAACTATTAAGTGCTTCTTCGTATCAGGAACAATCTGACTTACAGACTTTTCCTCAGGACCTAAACTCAATATATTGCTACTTTCTCCATGTGATACCTCAAGTTGGGAAGATGAGATTGTTTCAGTGTCTGATGACTTATGTTGGGAAGGTGAGACTTCTTGATCACCTTTTAACTTCTGTTCATATATCTTCTTATATGTTAGACTTGGAGACACTTTACTTGAATCTATACCTTTATTAGACAAAGTATGTGGGCTAAGATAAGATGATTTAATTTGTTCTTCTGGATTGTGATAATAAGTAACTCTTACTGTTAATGATGAATCTCTAACTTGATCCTTAACAAATTGTTCTTCTGTTGTTTTGGAATCATGTTTCTCTTCATTGCCTATTCCAACTGTTTCTACTTGTGAATCTTGAATCTCATTCTTTGATACACTATCAACGACAGAATTATAACTCAGTATCTGGCTGTCATTCTGAAATGCTTCTTGTGGTGTAGCCCCTGGTGATAATCCTTGCTTATTTAAAATGTTTATATTTTTCTCCTTTGTTTGTTTGTTTGATTCATGTTCTGCATTGGGCTCACTGTGTCTTTGTATGTTCTCAACAACTTTTGACATACGTTCTGAAACACACATTTGCTCTTTTGCCTCTTCTTGAGGAAATTCATTCAAACTTTCCATAGTGATTACACTTTTCTTCATTTCACCATGATAATAGTTGTTTATTAAAAAATCATCTATAGCAGCAGGTGATGCACTTTCTGGATTTTCTGCATCTGCCAGTTTTGTTTCTTCATAAATGTTTGTAACATCATTGTCTTGTATATGGCTCTCCGTAGCTTTTTCTGAAAGTAATTGTAAGAAAGACAGTGGGTCTGAAACCTGAATTCTCTTCATAACACTCGTATAATCTATGACAGGTGTATGGCTTTTCTCATTCAAAATTTTTGGAACTGAACATTTATTTTGTTTGCTGGATCTGGACTTTCTGTTAATAATCTTGCATGGTTGTGACCTTTGTAGATTAAATTTTAACACCGGTGTTTCATGTTGCTGCTCTGGAAAAGATTGCTTATTATCTGTTGTATTAGTAAATTCATGTTCATGGTCCTGAGTTACTTTTTCCTTGAGTTTCTTCTGACTGAATAGGGAATTTATTGTGTGCTCCAACAAATATTCTGTAGACTGAGTAGGAGGCTTATCTATTAACAACTGGTCATCTTTTATTACATTTTCACTGTCCCTGTTCTGCCCTCCTGATGAAGGTAACAAAATATCTTTCTTAGAAAAACCTTCCTTCACAGTTGCTTCCTTATCTTTTTTCTGATGTAATTGTTTCCTTTCTTCAATGTCTTTGTTTCTCAGTAGTAATTCAACACTATCTTCAGACAGCTTGTTTCCATCCTTTGTGTTTTTATTTTCTTCTGTTATTTGTAAATAATTCTTGTCTGTAAAGCTCTCAAAGCTAAGGTACTCTTCACATTGTTTGGATTTTTCTTCAGAATATGCAACTTTCAGTAAGTCTGGATCTTGAGAAGAGCTGGAAGAAAATTGCAATGAAGCAGCATTCTGAGAACCTCCGTCCTCTTCCACTTTTGTATTACAAAAAATATTTGCTTTAAAATCAGTGTTGTCTTTGGAGGAATGTCCATTAACACCTACCTGAACATTGCTGCCATCTAGTCCCCTACTTATCTTCTTTACTTTGTTGTCTTCCATTGCTTGGGGATTTTTTGATAAAAATTGTTCTTCACCCTCTTGTATCACTGTTTTACCATTATCTGGTACCGCAAGAAATATTATATCTTCAGTCAGAAAGTCCCTTGATTGTGTGAAAGTATCTGAATATTCTTCTGGATCCTTGGGAAAAAATAGTTTTTGTATTGCTGGGCTCCTTCCTGTTTTATCATTCATTCTGTCAAACGTTTCTCCTTTTGATTTCCTATCAAGATAAATTCCTGAATTCTGCAACTGCGAATTATTTACTTGTTCAGTCTTATCCAGCATGGCTGTTTCTCCATCTTCTCCTTTCATTAGGTCAGATTTTTCATGGGAATAAATGGTTTTCTTAGTGTAATGCTGTTTATCTGATGAATCAACTAGATTTCCTAGCTCTAAAAGAGAGGCTTGTTTCACCTCCTGAATATGACCAAAATGTTTATCTTCTGTGTTAGAATAACCCTGTGCTTCCAAACTCTCCAAAGTACAATTCCAATGTAATTGTATGCACTGACCATTGGCACGTCTGTACCTGTATTTGGATTTAGACCTTCCTGACAGATTATGTGGCATTTGCTCTTGTGTTGATTCATCATCCTGTGTTTTCATTCTCTTTTCTTCATTACTATGTGTGGTTGAAGAAGACATCAAAATGTTTTCCTCAGATGTACTAACATGCCTGTTCTGTGATATATTTTCAATAATATGATCGTTTAAGAGAATCTGTTCTTTCCCCTCCTTAGTTATGTCTAAAACTTTGTCTCCGTTTTTAGTTTGGAAGCACTCCTCATCAGGTTTTAGTGCCTTTTCTGCATGTGGTACATCAATTTTCTCTTTAGCTATAAAACCCTGAAAATTAAGTATGTTTGTAAAATAACTAATAGAGAAGAAAGACTGATGCTTTTGAGGATCTTCCTGATTTTCCACCCTTCTAGTTTGGGTACCTATTGGATCAAAATCTTGACCTATGCTATGAGAAGGTAGAAAACTATCTGCAGTTGATTCCTGTTGGCACATAATATCTACAGACTCAGGCCCTGGCTGATTATCTGATGTACCCCGTTTTAAATCAATACTTCCATACCAACCTGACTGGTCCCTTGTTGTTTCTGACTCTTTTGTTATAGCTTTTGTATTAATATATTCTATAGCTTGATTTCCTGGTTTTGATTCCTGATTCACAGTTTTGTCAGCAAGATCAGTGGAGGTAGATTCAGCAGCTTCATTTAAATCTGAATTTTCAGTTTGCTCATCTTTTCCATCTTCACTGGATACTGATTCTAGTATTTCCTTTGATGTTTCTTTGTTATATTTTTCTTTATTTTGTTCTTCAGAAGTCCCTGTTTCATCCGTTTGTCTTCTTCTGTGTTCATCCATCAAAGCTGATTGTGCACTTGGAGCTGATGGCTCTTCATTATTATCTGCTTTTTCTCTCCCTGAGAGTTCTTCTTTGACTTTGTTTTCCTTAGAGTAACCAAAAGTTAAAACATCACTTAGTCCTAGATCGAACCAATTTGATTTAGATGGCTCAGGATCAATAGGCTCAGAATCTCTGTGTCCCTCTTGTCTAGTGTCTGATAATGTGTGGTCATCAGTGTTCCCAGCAAAAGAGGAGCTGTCATAGATTTCTGGATCGTTTTCTTTGTTCAGCAAACCGTGTTCTGTTTTTTTACTTCCATAGTACAGCAGATCTGTCAATGTACTTTGAAACCAGCCGGAGGTCTTTGGCTCAATTTTACCCTCTTCATTTAATTTTTCAAAGTCACTATCCTCTGTGACAGTTATTTTTCTATGTCTGAATGTAATTTCTTCTGTAGTTTCGGAGGTAATGCTAGCAGCGTCTTTGTTTTCTAGACTTTCCAAACCAAGCCAATTGGCAAAGCCAGAAATAGTCCAGGTGGACTGAGTAGGGACTGATTTCAGAGCTTGACTGCTTTGTTCTTCCAGCTGATTAGTCTCATCTTGCCCAGTTTTGCTGTCTTTGAATTCTGAATCTGCATCGATTTCCAAAGAATGGAGGCCTTTAGATTTGCTGTCAAGTTCATATTTCTCAGGAGAAGTCTCTTTATATTCTTTTATGGGGTCAATACTGCTATGTTTCTGGAATTCATCTTCAGGCATTTTCAGTTCAGAGTCTTTTTCATCTTTATGAAAAGATATATATACATTTCCTTCATCAAGATTATTATGCTTGTTTTCTTCATTTTCAAAGACATATTCTCCTCCATCAAAACAAAGGAAATCAGTTTCCTAAAAAATAAGAAAAAATTGAAATGAATGTATCACTACTTTCTTCATATTTTACAAGCAGGATCAGTAAAGAGTCTCCAGTCTTCTGTATCATAATTATTTATATAACCACACAAATGCAATAAAGGCAAGCTATTATATAATTACCTTGGAAAATATATATTCATTTAAAAATATACCATGTTTCCCTGAAAATATGATAGGGTCTTATATTACGTAATTAAAAAAAAAACATTGGGGGCTGAAAATAAGATAGGGTCTTATATTAATTCAAAAAAAAAATTGGGGGTTATTTTCAGGGGATGTTTTATTATTTTTTTCATTTACAACAATCTACATTTATTCAAATACAGTCATGTCAACTTCTTTTGGTTGCTGCACAATGGTGGAGGGATGGGTTTCACTTAACTGGCTAATTTTTGGGGGAGGGCTTATATTATGAGCATCCTGAAAAATCATACTAGGGCTTATTTTCATGTTAGGTCTTATTTTGGCGGAAACAGTAGGTAGTATTTAAACCAGATAAATTATACTGTTTGATGAGACCAAGACTAGAGTTGGGTGGAGGGATGTGCACGCAATGGCAATTATTATACAGTGGTGCCTCGCTTAACGATGTTAATTCATTCCAGCGAAATCACTGTAGAGCAAAAATGTCATAAAACGAAATAAAAAAGCCCATTGAAATGCATTGAAAACCGTTCAATGCGTTCCAATGGGCTGAAAACTCACCGTCCAGCGAAGATCCTCCATAGGGGTGGCCATTTTCGATGCCTGTAGAGCAAGGAATACATCCAAAAACACAGCGGGGAGCCCTTTTGAGCACCCAGTGGCCATTTTGAAAACCCGATGATCAGCTGTTTTGATTGTCATAATGTGAAGAATCGGTTCCCGAAGCAGGGAACCGCAAAGCGAAAAAAAAAACATTTAAAACATCGTTTTGCGATCACAATTGCGATCGTAAAAACATCGTCGTGAAGCGGATTCGTCGTTATACGGGGTAATCGTTAAGCGGGGCACGACTGTACAAGCAGTTTCTTCCCTTTACTGGGTTGTCTGTCATGTGATCAGTGTAACAAGTATATGAGCAGTACCTGACTGATCACATGACAGGCGCACTTCCAAAGGAAGAGAGGGACTGCTTGCATTATTATTGTTGTGTGTATGTTTTTTCCCCACCAGGATTCAGACCCAAGTTTGATACTCTGTACTTTTGAAAAGGAATGTTAAAGAATACAGTATTTTACCCAAATGTATCAAAATGACTATCTGTTAACAACAAATGAATTCATAAATCTCTTGTTAAAGTATAGGTTTAAACAGAGAAGTACAACCATAAATGTAAGACAAAATACAATGATCCCATATAAAATTTTGTCCTGTGCTATTTTAGTTGGATATGAGTTACTTGGTTGGATCCAGGGTTCCTCATATTTAGATCAGAGTCACATAAATTCATGGGACTGAATTGGAAGTAATTATTAACTGAAGACACACTGCTTTTAAGTATGATATCATATCACTGGATCACATCCACTCCTTAGTTTTACATAGAACTGTAGTTTTACCTTAAGAAATGGACACAACAAAGGAACAATGTTGTGCTTCCTGGGCACATGGAGGGGGTCACTGGACAAAGCAACTCTATTGTTGCAGCAACATCTTGCAATTTATGGTCCGTAGCATTGCAGAAGTTTGTAACAGTGTGGATGGCAACAGCTGCTTTATAATAAAGGTCAAGCTATGCTTAGGGGAGTAAGCTTTCTTCTTTCTTTGACATAGCCCAACCTAGATCATTTGTGCAAGGTAGGAATGCATGATCAGACCAGCCCTAGCTAGCTACTCTTTAGGAACTGCTGGGGCCAGCTACTGTTAATACACCTAGCCATCAGGAACATCAAAGATGTAAGGAATTATAAGAACTAAACAAAACAAATAAACCTTTGGACTTCCTTTATTGGTAGGATCCACAAAGAATTTAAAATATCTGTTGGCTAAAATCTTTTTGCTTCATGTAGTAAATTGTACCAGACAGCACAGGCCCATTGAACCAATAGAGATTTAGTGAGTGAAGTCCTCCATTGATTGAAATTGACTTACTTTATCTGCGATTTACTTTACTACAGTAAGTCATGGAATATGGCCATTTGAATTAGTGAAACTTCTGGAGGAGATGACTTACTAAATCCCTATTAATTCAGTAGGCTTACTCTAGTGCAATTTACCATTCTAGCCAAAAGAATGTTGGGCATTGCGATATCATATAATTTTACCTTAGTTGGAACTTCTACTTCTTTTGTGATTAAAACATCTTCAATCTGGACAGCATCCATAGGGAAATATCCAAAATCTGTACCTTTCTATATATTAAAAAAAGAACATTTGGCTTCTTACCATATGAAACACCGTCCCTTTTCACTTAATCATTACACAGCAATAAACTCATGAGAAGAACCTTTGAATTTATTTATTTTATGCCAGTATAATAATAAAACTTCTTCCCTTAGAATTTCTTTCTTCATTTCTTAAAGGTAGTTATAAATCCTTAATTTGTGTCATTTTCACATTATTGACATTATTCCTCATGTTTCAGCCATCTTTAAAATGTACATTGAATTTAAATTATTTCTTTAACTAAAACTAAGATTCAAGGTAACTAACAAATACAGATGAAGTGCAAATATATAATTAAAAGAAGTCCAACTACACCCTTAGATCATAATATGCTTGTGGGTTAATTCTACATTAAAATATTTCCACAAGTAAACATTGTGTTTTATTCCTTTTAAAGTCACAATTTCAAAGCAATATTGTTATAATAAAGGTCAGCTACCAAACTATGTTGAGTTTCCTGTGAAAATTAAATAATAATAAATTGTCCTTTAAAAACTATGAAGCTTTAATCTTCAGCATTTTTGTGTCTTAAAATCTTCAATTGTAGTGATAGAATTTTAGTACTAAATTGCAGTTTATATCATTGCATAAATTGTTACCTTATAAAATACTTACACTTCCGGCCCATAAATCCTCCCTTTTCCTGGAAAGTTTGAAGTATACCATTATCTCTTCTCCAGTTTTGAAGTTCAAATAGCGGCAGTCAGGCCCTGTATAGTCTTTAATGGCTTGTACTCTGCTAATTGATGCTGGATGTGTGTAAAAAACAGAAGTTACACTTGAAGATTCTTATGATATTAACCAAAGTGTGTAAAATAAAGATCATCAAATCAAAGCACATGTTAATCAAATCACATATTAGTGCATATCTCTTGCTATTATGTTTTCTCTCTGGCCACTAAATTCCTTTACAGCTCTGTGTCCAAGTGGCCAGATTTGCACATAAAGCCTATGTTTACCTCCTGATGAGCAATCATAAAACAAAAACAAGCTCATTTGCAACATAGGTAAGACAAGAGCATGCTAGGATAAACAGATGTCCTCTATCTCTTAACAGAGCTCTGTTTCTAATTATACTGTATGTTAACTGCATTAACTAGTTTCAGCCTGATTCAAACACAGTGCAATACCAGGTTAACAAATAGTGATGTAGAATGGATGACAGCATTGCTGTGGGGGAGAACATATGACTGTTTGCTCTTTATCAACATACTCCAAGCAGATTTTAATTCTAGAACTAGAGAGGAACAATGCACAGCTCCTTAAACTCATGTTCATGCAACCAGCAAATCTGGCATGCCCTTCCAAAATAAATTAAGGCCTGGTTTAAATATTACCGTAAACATGACATTTTATATTAGTAAAAGATATCTGTACAAGATCCAATGTATTCAGTGTCATGTATAACCGGGGTTGCTTCTGCCTGAGCATGATTACACCACAAATCTTTGGCTTCAGATGACATCATTCCACTGTCTTAATTTATTTATTGGTTTATTTATTTCATAAATGTATATACCAGTGACTTTGTGTGAGACACTACTCTAAGCTGTTTACAAAGATAAAGTTAAACAATAACTCCATCCATCCATCAAAACAAATAAAATACATACATATATAAAATAAGACCCCAGATAATGGTGGACTCCAGGAAACACATATGAAAAGTAACTTCAGGTAGGATGCCCTTAAATGCTTCTTGAAATAATAGTGTCTCCAGCATCCTCTAAAAAGGTGGGAGGGAAGAGGCCTGATAAACTTGTACTGGGGCTGCATTCCATAAAGTGGGGATAAGGACCAAGAAGGCACACTTTCTGGTGACTATTTTCTTTGCCTCTCTCTCAGCATGGCAACCCAGAGAAGTAAGGATATGTTGTCAATATCCACATAACAGCACACACTAATGTGATGGGCAAAACTGGTTTAAACACTTAGCTGATGATTGACCTGATCCGTACAAATGCAACAAATATCACCTAACACCCCTGACACAGAGAACAATGTTGTTCAGGCATAGTTTTGTGATGGGCAAAACTGGTTTAAACACTTAAAATGATGGTTGAACTGATCCATACAAATGCAACAAATTTCACCTAACACCCCTGACACAGGGAACGATGTTGTTCAGGCATAGCTGTATTGCAAGTATCAAAAATGCCTCAATTTTTGTCTGCAAAATGGAGGGTGTATGGATGGTTCTTTAATACATTTTTGTCTCTTTTTAATAACGATAGCTTTGATTTAACTTTACGTCTCTTAAGGAACTTAACTTCCTATGCCAATAAAGATTCCTGACTGACTGACTAACTTAACTTCCTTCTATTGCATTTGTTGGCTCCTTACTTCCCTTTTCTAACTCTATTGCAAAGTATTTGCAGCTTTTCTATCACTTCCTTTTCCCCCTGTGAATATGGGTTGGTTCTGCCAGGGGCAGTTCCGTTGACAGCGCAGGAAAAAGAACAGGAGACTGTTCTTCTTTTCTAACAGAATCAGTTTTATTTGTGAACAAACTCAACTCAGCTGGCTCAAATGGGTCCATTAAACTCAACTCTGGTAACAACGTATAACTTCGAACTCATGTAGTTATTTATTTGTCTTTTCTTCTTACCGGGGGGGGGGCTGGCCCAAATCACTTCCGGTCGGTCATAAGGCGAATCGTTGTGGTCCGTTTCTTCTTACTAGGGGGCTGGCCCAAATCACTTCTGGTCGGTCATAAGGCAGATCGTTGTGGTCCGTGCCCCGCAAACCGTCCCACAACATGGGTGTTTCGCCCAGTCCCCCTTCCGCTGACTCTGGAGTAAAGAGGGATGGAGTAAAGAGGGACTGGAACGGATCACCCGCCTCCCCCTATGCTGATTGCGTGGGTAAACCACCACAGTCCATTCCAAGGGATCTACCTCTTGCCCGCATGTGAAGTACTCTGGAGGTCCCAGTAGTAATCCTCCATCAACTTGTAGATTTGGGAATTCTTTAAGTAGTTTTAGAAAACTCTCTTGGCCCATGCTCCATTCTGTCTGGACAGACCTATCCTTCTTGTCTGCTGGTTCGCTCTTTACCACTCTGAAACTTCCCGCCCTTTCGTCCCGTTATATCTTCCCATATAATCAAATCAAGCTCCTCCCCTTTCTCATCAGCCAAACACACTTCCCTAGGTTGTTGTACTTCCCTGTCATCCTGTTCCACTTCCACTAATATCCCCTCTACACACTCTGCTCCTCCTTCTGCTCCTTTGACTGTGGAGGACGGCTCACTCCCTTTCTCTCCTTCACACCTCCCTTTTTCTTTATTTTTTGTCTGTTTTCCAAACTTTCCCTACAGTGTGCCCCTTTGTCACCCCAGTCATTTCCTTCCCCAATCTCTTTCATATCTTTCTGGGCCTTTTGCTGTCCTCTGCACATTATTCAATGCATCAGTAGATATTAAATAATTACAGAGTTGGAGGCAATTTAAACATTAGACCTTGAAACAGTATCTCTGCCAGCTAGCAGTCAGCAGCTAATTTCACACTTTGTTCCACTCAGTAGAAAGCTGCACCAGCATAGGAATGTAGGATTGTGCTGCTTTTGGATGAATGGCCGATGCACAAGCAGACATCGAATTTTCATTGTGAAGATAGTTGCACACATCACCAATGCTTGCATGGTTGGTGTTATTCCCATGGTTATTACATTGGTGGGTCTATTGTATCAGTAAGATACTGGCCCACATATTTATTCATCCAGAGTACTGTACATTTTTTTAATTCTGAAGTTTAATGAAGCTAAGGGTTAATCTGGAATTTGTCAGCCTAACATCAACAATAGTTATTGGCATTTCAAAGCTATTTTCAACAATTTATTCTCCTGGAGCTTAACATGTTGTCACATACATTAAAAAAAATCTGAGTTTGTTCCTTAAGACTGTCCCTCTATTTAAATTATGATTTACATAACTTAATTTTTGTTGCTTATTAGATATCATTATAAGATTATCTTATTATTGGCTCTCTTGTTTAAATTATTTTTGCTGTTTCTTTGTCCTTTATGAAAGTGGATATCTGATAATATATATTAACCCACTTTCTCTAGACTATATTGTTCCTTACAGAATATATGGCATAATCCTGTGGATATTAAATTGGAAGTACATCACACTATATTCAATCAGGCTTCCTCCTTACATTTGTGAAATTTCACTTTAGTGCTTAATATAATTAGAAATGTTGGAGATTGCCTTCCACTGCATCAGACTATTAGTTGCGTTATTCCTTTATGGCTAACTCCAGCTTTCCACTATTTGGAAAACTTCCTCCATAGCCAGATTGCCTTCCACTGCATCAGACTATTAGTCCTTTATGGCTAACTCCAGCTTTCCAGTATTTGGAAAACTTCCTCCATAGCCGTATCTGGAGTTGCCCAGGTGGGATTTCTACTTGAAAAGTATATGCTCCATCACTGAACTATACCCACTCCTCCAGTGGTCTTGTAGTGCTGTGATTGAACTGTAGTATAGCAGTCAAGACTCTGCTTACGAACAGAGTTTGTTCCCAATAGGTTGGGACTTGAGGTTGACTCATCCTTTGACTTGAGGATGACTCATCCTTTCAAGGCTGGTAAATCAAATACCTGGCCTACTGGCGGTGCAATGTGTAGCCTGCATAATTAAATTGTAAACCGCTCAGAGAGTGCTTTAAGCACTATGGGACAGTACATAAGCAGCACAGTTTGCTTTATCAAGTCACTTTTCCTTAAGCCCCAGTGTTTTTGCTAACAGTAGTGTTTGTGGGATGTGGTGGCATGGCAAGTTAAACCGCAAAGCCTCTGGTCTGCAAGGTCGAAAGACCAGCAGTTTGAATCCACGCGACGGAATGAGCTCCTGTCACTTGTCCCAGCTCCTGCCAGCCTAGCAGTTCCAGAGCATGGACATGCAAGTAGATAAATAGGTACCACCACGATGGGAAGGTAACAGCATTCCGTGTCTAGTTGTGCTGGCCATGTGACCATAGAAACTGTCTATGGACAAACGCTGGCTCTACGGCTTGGAAACAGGGATGAGCACCGCCCCCTAGAGTCAGACAGGACTGGACAATTGTCAAGGGGAACCTTTACCTTTACTAGTGTTTGTGTATATATGTGTGTGTGCATATATGTGCAATATATGTGGATTTTTAAAAGATTTCACAATTTGTAGTGAAGCAATGTGAAATGTGTGGCTTATTTTGACTCTTTCTGACTAGAAATGGGCACAAACCAGTGGTTCATCCTTTGGATGAACAGTTGTTGGTGCTTCCCAGCCCTGCCTCCTCTAGTGGGTAGCCACTCAGAGGCAGTACCTGAAGGAGGTGGAGCAGGGAAGCTGAGGAAAGCCTCTGAGTAGGCGCCTGCTGAAGGAGGAGCATCTGAGAAGTACCAACCCCTTTTTATCTAAAAGGATGAACTGGCATGAACTGCCAAAGCAGCAGTTTGTGTCCATCTCTACTCCTGACATCTGAAATGATCTTGCTTTTATTTGTATCACACTTGTACACTAGATCGTGCTAGATAGTGCTGGTATCGAACACCCACCAACCTGCACATGTGTGCAAGAACTGCTTCCTGGGCTACCAGAACATGTCTGAGCAACCATTCAGGAGTGCATCTGGGTTTCTCTGAGAGAGGGATGTTGTTGTCATTTAGTTGTGTCCGACTCTTCATGACCCCATGGACCAGAACACGCCAGCCCCCCGGTCTAACTGTTGCTTCCTGTCCCACGTATAGGTTTCTAAGGAGATAGATAAGGTGGTCAGGCACTCCCATTTCTTTAAGGACTTGCCATAGTTTGCTATGGTCCACACAGTCAAAGGCTTTTGCATAGTCAATGAAGCAGAAGTAGATGGTTTTTGTTGCTGCCCCCTGTATAATGTCACAAGCCTCTATCCAAAGTTCTTCAGGCACTCTGTCCACCAAATCGAGTTCCTTAAATCTGTTCTTCACTACCACTGTGTATTCATAAGGGATTTGGTTTAGATTATACCTGAGTAGCCCAGTGGTTTTTCCTACTCTCTTCAGTTTAAGCTTGAATTTTGCTATGAGAAGCTGATGATATAGCTCCAAGTCTTGTTTTTGCTGACTGTATAGAGCTTCTCCATCTTTGGCTGCACAGAATATAATCAATCTGATTTCGATATTGCCCATCTGGTGATTTCCATGTATAGAGTCGCCTCTTGTGTTGTTGGAAAAGAGTGTTTGTGATGACCAGCTTGTCCTCTTGACAAAACTCTATTAGCCTTTGCCCTGCTTCGTTCTGGATTCCCAGGCCAAACTTCCCTGTTGCTCCTTTTATCTATTGACTCCCTACTTTAGCATTCCAGTCCCCTAGAATAAGAACGTCTTTCTTTGGTGTCACTTCTAGAAGGTGTTGTAAATCTTCATAAAATTGTTCAATTTCAGTCTCCTCAGCATTGGTGGTTGGTGCGTAAACTTGGATTACTGTGATGTTGAAAGGTGTGCCTTGGATTCGTATTGACATCATTCTATCATTTTTGAGATTATATCCCATTAGAGCTTTTCCCACTCTTTTGTTGACTATGAGGGCCACTCCATTCCTTCTATGGGATTCTTGCCCACAATAGTAAATATGATAATCATCTGAATTGAATTTGCCCATTCCTGTCCATTTTAGTTCACTGATACCCAGGATGTCAATATTTATTCTGGTCATCTCCTGTTTGACCACATCCAGCTTACCAATGTTCATAGATCTTACATTACAGGTTCCTATGCAGTATTTTTCTTTGCAGCATCGGACTTTCCTTTCACTTCCAGGCACGTCCACAGCTGAGTGTCTTTTTGGCTTTGGCCCAACCACTTCACACGACAAGGCAGCAATCCATGAAGAGAGGATGGCAATCCATGAGAGAGGGATGGCATGCACCAAAGGGATAAAAACAAAAGTGAACAAAACTTCTCATGCATTCTAGAACTTGATGGCTTGTCTTCAGCAACAAGGACCTATAAGAACAAGTGCAATGTATCTTTCTGCACACAGTGTATAGCAAGTACACAGACCCCATTCTCACAGGATCAGTATAAAATATAATGTAATTCATGCAGTACACAAGTGTCACAAGTGAGTCAGAATGTGAACCCGTGATTCATAGTGGTGGGCCTTTCATATTAGTATGTACACATACATAACTCAGTCATATACATGTTTACTCATAAGTAAATCCCACAATATTAATGACTCTTACAGCCAAGTAAAAATGACAAATATTGCAATATTAACAGCACAGTTGTTGTTGTTTAGTCATTAAGTCATGTCCGACTCTTCGTGAACTTACACTTACAATCCCACCCAAATGGCTTCCCAGAAGTACTTCCTCTTGTTTTTAAAAAATACAGATTAACTTTCTATACAAGTAATATTTTATTTATTTTATTTAATGTATTTATTTATTTATTTATTTAACTTATATGCCGCCCACACTACCCAAAGGTCTCTGGGTAGCTTGCAACATTTAAAATACAATAAAAAGGCAAAATAATTAAAATGCAATTAAAAACATATACTCTAAAATTGCCATTGGACCCACAGCTGATATTATTTCAGTTAAAAGTCTTCTGGAACAGGAAGGTTTTGACCTGTGATTTTACAAGTGATTCTTAAGATATATAATGTGCTTTCAAATGTTTGCTGTACTTTAACTTTTTTTATTAGTTTTTAAAAGGATAATTTAAAGCAGAGAGAACTTTGTACTTACTTTCACATTCTGGATCGCCACATTTTTTCTGGTCTGACAACACCTTTGTACTCTTGATGTTTATTAGCAATGAAAGAATGAAAAGTAATGTTCGGGTATCCAATATCCCCACCATCCTAAAAAATTATAATGTTAATCCTTAGAAAAGACTTTTCAAATCGAATTGCCTGGTCAATATTCACACCCGTATTCAAACCAATTTTTTGTAATTCCAACTAGCTTTTAAGTACGTGTGCAGAAATGCCCTTTCAACAATCTGCAGAGTTAAGTGTCCTGATTAAGTGGCTTAATTATTAACATCAGCTTTTTGAAATACCTCCCTCCCATCTCAAGCAACTATTGACACACAACAGACAACACAACACTGATACAGACATGGACACTAAAACCTGCTAGGAACCCAGATGCCACCTCTGGCCTCACATCTACTCCAGCAACACAGTTACAGGCCCCAACAATGTTATAGACAACATTAGGGTATGTTTACTTGTTCCTCTGCTAATGTGAGCTACTGTATGCCATCCTTTGCTAACAATGCCCTTCTGCACTCTACACAGAACAAACAGGACAGTCTCCACACCAAGAATTAAGGGACCTAAATCTGACGTCAGAAATGGCAAGGCAGAAAAGCCTGATTCAGAACATTTCAGTCTACCTGGGCATTATTTGAACAGCCTTGAAGTAATTGTTTTTGCATGGTGGGGAATCTACAAAACAAGACTTGAAAGAGAAGCAGTTGAGATTTATACAGTATGTGGATGCTGGAGCACTATTTGAAATTAGTCAAGAGTTCGTAGGTCATTTCCAAGTGTGAAATCTTACATTGACTCCCAGTTTGCCACATGCATCAACAATGCTACTGTTACCTTGTAGACTGAAAACTGACATTATTTGCAGCCTTATAGCCTATTCATTTACTAATAAACTATTGTGACCTTGTTATCTCAGTCGCCAGCTGGTCATAGAACTATATATAAATATGATAGCCCTAGTCTCCCTCTTGTGTTTGAAGGAGTGAATCACTGAAAGTTCACATTAAAATACAGTGGGGTCTTGACTTAAGAACTACTTGAGTTAATAACATTTTGACTTAAGAACCACTCTCATAGGAAAATATTGACTTGACTTACGTAAGTACTTAGATTTGAGTTGAGAATATATAAATATGATAGTCCTAGTCTCCCTCTTGTGTTTGAAGGAGTGGATCACTGAAAGTTCACATTAAAATATAGCAGTTATATTTTATTTTAGTCTTTAAGGTGCCATGTCATTTTCATTCCCCCCCAATATGTTTGAAATAAAATAGGTTATTTCAGTAAGACTACACTAAACCACATTTCAATAAATTTATTTGTATAAGCAAATAATTGGCACGCCGTGTAGAACATTGTAGAGAGCCTGGTCACCACCATTACTTTGATTGTACATATGTAGTTTGATTGTAAAAGCAGCAGTGATTATCTGGATTGCTGTATATGTTGTGGAGAAATGGGATCCTAGATGTTAGCTGGATTAGACCCTCATGGCGCAGTGGTTAAACCGCTGTACTGCAGCCAAAAGTGTGCTCACGACCTGGGGTTCAATCCCAGGTAGCGGCTCAGGTAGTTGACTCAGCCTTCTATCCTTCCCAGGTCGGTAAAATGAGTACACAGCTCGCTGGGGGGGGGGCAATGTATAGCCTGCGTAATTAACTTGTAAACCACCCAGAGAGTGCTTGAAGCGCTATGGGGCGATATATAAGCAGCACGCTTTGCATTAATTAAACATACTGTCATTTCTCTGAAGCAAATGACAGTGCGAGCCACGGCAAAGTTAATCTTGCTAGAGGTGTAATTTTTCCCCAGCATCCTGATTTTCAAAGAGCATCCTAATTTTCAAAGGGCCTTTAAAGTCATTGAGAGAGTTATGTACTCCCAGGGCACGTCTGAGAGATGTTCCTTTTGGTCACATGTTATTTAGCTCCCTGTTGCATCCAAAGGGGATTACAAGCCAGTAGCAAAATGGGCATTCTATTTAGGAGCTTTGAGTTGCATATTCTTTGTCCCTTCCCTGGAAGCTCAAAGCATGAGCTAAAAGGAAGATGTGGGGCTTGCTGGCTGGCGGCTTACTGCATAATGTATAATCTTGGGGCCTTAGTTTCTTGTTTTGTTATCTGTATCCATATTTTTTGTAGCTTTAAAATGATCCTTTTCCACTGGCAACAACCTGTTTAATTCTATTATTTTTCTCTCTGTATTCTTTCAGTAAACTTTATGAGCAAGTCTGGTTTGCCATCTAACAGAGGCCAGGGTGGTGGTAATTTAGATCAATCTTAACCTCCTTGATCACTCTGCTGAAGGGTACACAATTTGGTAAATGGTCCCCTGAAACCCCAAAAATCTGGGGTAGTGGGGGCTAACCAGAATACAGAAACCTGCTCAGGACTTCCAGATGATTCAGCCCTGGGGCAGAGAAGGCTTACTCTGAAGCTGGGTGGAGAATGGAGAAATGTTTATACCTACTTTTGTAATACGGTAGATGATGGATCTGACTGACCATTTGTAGAGAATATAGAAATATGTCTTATACTAAGCCAGGTAATTTGTCGTTTTAGCCCAGTATTATAAACTTTGTTCAACAGCCAGCTTCCCAGGATTTCATGCAGGATTCTCTCCTAGCCTTACCTGCTGACTCCCTGGACTCCCATCCAAGTACTACCCAGGCCTGATCCTGCTTACCTTTTCAGATCAGGTGTTCAAGTGCATACAAAAATATACCACCTGCTTTATGTAATGTCATGTGAACCTACCCCAATGAGGTGGGGAGCCCAGGAAAGGGGACGAAACAGCAGACTGTAGTAAATTATCAAGGTCAAGGCTAACAACTTCCCGCTGCATTATCTCTTCCATGAGGACTGACATGTTTTGAATGCCCCATCCTGTTTTAAAGTGGCAGTAATGTGGAGTGTTACAAGGTGTCATCTTAAATCCAGAACTAGTGGCAATTGACCTTTAATCCTGGTGAACTGCAAGGGGTGGAGGTTGAACTAAAACAAAATATAATTGTCATATTTCATTGTTGTTGTTTAGTCATGTCTGACTCTTTGTGACCCCATGGACCAGAGCACGCCAAGCCCTCCTGTCTTCTACTGCCTCCTGGAGTTGAGTCAAATTCATGTAGGTAGCTTCAATGACACTGTCCAACCATCTTGTCTTCTGTCATCCCCTTCTCCTCTTCCCCTCACACTTTGCCAACATCAGGGTCTTTTCCAGGGAGTCTTCTCTTCTCATGAGATGGCCAAAGTATTGAAGCCTCAGCTTCAGGATCTGTCCTTCCAGTGAGCACTCAGGGTTGATTACCTGCAAAATGTAGGTTTGATCTTGCAGTCCAGGGGACTCTCAAGAGTCTCCTCCAGCACCACAGTTCAAAAGCATCAATTCTTTGGTGGTCAGCCTTCTTTATGGTCCAGCTTTCACTTCCATACATCGCTACTGGAAAAACTATAGCCTTGACTATGCGGACCTTTGTTGGCAAGGTGATATCTCTGCTTTTTAAGATGCTGTCTAGGTTTGTCATTGCTTTCCTCCCAAGAAGCATCTTTAAATTTCATGGCTGCTGTCCCCATCTGCAGTGATCATGGAGCCAAGAAAGTAAAATCTGTCACTGCCTCCGTATTTTCCCCTTCTATTTGTCATATTTCTCAGGCTACTTTTATTTCCATACAATACAGACACAGATCAGTATTGAAAGTACAGATGTTGATTTGCACTTAAGCTACCCTTATTTCCTTTACCATGATACAAAAATCTTGTACTAAGCGTGTACTACCAAATCAATTTCAACTTATGGTGACCGCTTCCAGGGATTTCTAGGTAGAATACAGACATGATTTATCATTCCCTTCTTCTAGCTCAATTGGGCAGATTGTAACTACAAAGGCTGACTCTTTTCCAGGAGGCAGTGAGGAATTAACTCCCAACTGTTGGTTCAGGAGCCACGTGCTCCATCTCACTGAACTAATTTTAAAAAATAATTACATACTGTTAAGTCAATTCTGACTTATGGCAACTCTCCAGTTTTAGGTAGTCAGTACTCTAAAGTGGCTTACCATTCCTTCTTCTGGGTGCACCTTGGGAGTGTGCTGCTTGCCTAAAGCTACACAAGCTGTCCCTACTCTTTGAGCACATAGCAATGAATTGAATCCCTCCACAGCCAGATATTGAGCCTATCCAGTCAGAAGTACCCTACACAGATCTTAAATAGTGAAGCCTTCTTTCAGGTAATGCAGCATTGTCCTGCTTTTATCACAATAATCTAAAGTGAGAACTAGTGACTTTATCAAGATCATCTAATGTGCACCATGGCTAAGCAACAATTTGAATCTAGCTCTCCCTCATCCAGGTCCAACCTGCATGGCATTTTCCATTGGACTGTATTGATTCTATGAAGGCTTACACAGATGTGTACATTCAGTGGCTTTCAAGCAAGGGTGCAGAGGGCTGTAGCTTTAACATATGGTGTGCGCGCATATCAACTCACCTTTTCTTTTCCAAGATAGCCTGCCTTTTTTTCTCACCTCTCTGATAATCTCTCAACTGTCTTTTTCCAACTCCTCTTTGTCCAAGATTCTTTCCCCTTCTATTTCAAACCTGCCCTCTCATTGGTCATCATAAATTCCGTAACATAAGAACACCCCACAAAAGGCCAATAGTTGATACAGAGGGGAAAAACTCAGTTGTTTTGAATAGTACTCTGTTCTTTCAGGTTACTGTCTATTTCTAGGCAGCTGTCAGAGACAGTACTGAATATGCAGTTTTTCTCAAGACCCGTGGAAAAACATCCAGGGTGTGTGGGGGATAACCATATTAACACATTTATAGAAAAGCAACAATCTTGTGTCACTTTAACAACTTAACGGCTGAAATCCTGTTGCTTAGCATAGCAGGCTGCAACTAGAGTAAAACCACTGAATCGAATCATTGGGGATTTGGTGAATTCTCACCTCCATACATTTCACTGATTTAGAGGGCCTACTCTAATGGCAACCTACTATGCTAAGCAACTGGATTTCAGCTACTGTTTTATTTGGCACAGGTTTCTGTGGACTACACCCCACTTCCATCAAATGCAACAAGCTGTAAAACACAAAGCTGATACAATAAACAAGGTGTCATATGTCATGGTTTAGGTTATTGAAGCTAGAATGTAATTTCTTAATGGGATTTGTAGTCATGGTATGGTATAGAAGGAATCCATCTTAGTCTGTGTGTCATGTAACTAGATGCTTCGAGAAGCTGTTTTCTCTTAGAGCTAGTTGGAATTTTCCATGTAGCAAGCTTGGCCAGAAATGATAAGGGCCAAAGACACAACATTGAGAAAAATGTCAACAACACCTGCACATCCCATGAGAAAAGGAGGTGGAGAGACATGAGACAATCCTTTGTCCCGATTGGCTTACGTCAGTGGAGAGTGAAGAAGGTGGTTCCAGCATAAGAAGAAAATGGCAGGATGGTGACAGAGAGAGGCTTTTTGATCTTTTTAGATTTTACCTTGGATTTTAGATTTTTGAATGGACTTTTGTTTCCATTGCTATTGCAAGGATGTACTGTAGTTCATAGCAAAGGATAGAGAAGGGGGGGGGCAGCCTTATCCACCTTTCTAGCTATTAGTTTTCTTATTTTATTTTTATAGTTGGGATTTGCTGTTTCTAACTACCTAAGTTTATGGAAATGTATTTGAATGTTATGCTTTGCAACAAACTGAATATCTCTAATTCTTTATTTTTCTAATAAAACAATAATTCATAAAAACTTACGTTTGGTCTCTTGAGAAGATAACTTAATTATTTTTCTTTTTAGGCCACAAGTATGCTACTGAGTCCATTTAATTATCTGAGTTTTGCTGGTCTTGGCAGACTCTAAGACTCATGGTTTTATCTTTGGTTTTCTCTGTTAATTCTTAATTGAGAACAGACTTGGGAAAGAGGGTGTCAGTGGGACGGCCTGGCTGCAAGGACTCATTACAGCTTTGACAGGAGTATGCTGAACCCTCAGAACCTCTTTGTTCAAGCCTCAGCATTCTCTTAGGCGAGCTGTGTGCTTACACCATAAGACTGTTGATTGTTTCAGATATATGTTAGATGAGCTAAACTTGGTCTGAACCCAACTGCTGCTCTCAAAACAGCGTCCACATAAAACAGTAGAGAATAGGACTGTATTGAATGCAAAGAGAGCAAACTGCAAGACTAGCAGCCACATGGAGCCGATCTGTACTACAAAATATATAGGCGAGCTGTGTGCTTACACCATAAGACTGTTGATTGTTTCAGATATATGTTAGATGAGCTAAACTTGGTCTGAACCCAACTGCTGCTCTCAAAACAGCGTCCACATAAAACAGTAGAGAATAGGACTGTATTGAATGCAAAGAGAGCAAACTGCAAGACTAGCAGCCACATGGAGCCAATCTGTGCTACAAAATATAATACTCTAGGAAACAGTTAATAATACTAGATACAATTGCTTTCCAGTCACCAGTCAGGATTATATAGCATAGAATACCTTTTAATGGAGGTCATATATACAACAAGGTGGGTACTAAAAACAAGATGACTGGTTGTCCTTCTGGTGCACATGTATGCATGGGCTGAGGAATTCAATTTGTTATTTTGTATCAGGTGGCCAACAAGTATAAACACTTCATTAACAAACAGTAAATACAGAATACAGCAAATAGTACATAAAGCTACCTTTATTTGGACTTTTACAGGACAGGCCAATGTATACACTTAAATTTTATAGAAAATTTAAAAACAGCAAGTCACCTTTTTAATACTAGCTATTTTGCCATTTACTTGCTTTAGCTGTACAGAAATGCAAAGTCTGAGTTCAGTTTCCCCATTCAACAGTATTCATAAGCACAACAGACATGTTAGTCCCAGATTAATTTAACAGTATAATCCATTGTTATTGGCATGTAAAGGCTTTTAGTCAGTGATGCACAATAATTTAGTTTAGAAGTTGACCGCACCTTCCTGCACTATACAGCAAAGCACTGAAGTTAATGGAACTGCAAATTTAAAATTCTCTAAACATCACCCTAGCACTAGAGGGCAGGCATGGCTTGCAGTAATAACTACAGGGCTTTCCAAACAGGTTTTAGATGTCCAAATTAAAACTGGCCTGACATACTTAGTTTGCTCCCATATATGAACAGTTCACCAAACAACATTAGTAAAACCTAAAATAGACTTGTATAGTGAAAACACAGAAAAGAAAACCCGGATTATGCGCAGGTGTGTACTCCTTCATGACTTTGGAATTGAAATTGTTAGCAATTAGGAGAGTTAACAGGCAGGTTAACAACTCTATAAATTTTGCAAATAAAGGGGAAAAGATTTCTATGCAAGAGGCACTCTCAAACCTCGTAAAATGCACATTTATTTTTACAAAAAACTTATGATACAGAATCAAATCACACAACTGTAATGGTGTATCTATTAAAATATACAGAAACTCCTAAGTACAGAATATTTAAAAAGATGAACGAGCTGTCCCTCCCTTTATTTGTACATATCTGTATCTTCACATAATTTGACAAGTAACCTTTTACAAAATCATGTAAAAAGCACAAGAGTTGCCTGGTAAAGTCTGTATTTCTCAAATAAAAAAAAACAACAGCATGCAATTAAGGCAGCCTTTTCTTCCTCACATGGAATCCTTTCACTCAAGTAATCTTCTGCTGCAAAGATTAGGCTAGGGAGCCTGGTCTCTTCTGTCAACGCCTTTTGTCTTTCCTGTCTGATTTACGGTCTCTTTCGCTCCGTGAAGTTCTTTTGCCTGACCGACTACTTTCTGATATTGACCTCTTTCTGTCCGACCTTGAACTTTTATCCTTTGAGTCTTTTGCATCTCTGCTTCTACCTTTCGAAGACTTGTGACTTCTGTCTACTCCTGAATTATCCCTTCGCTTCCGATCCGCACTTCTCCTGCGCTTTCTATCCCTATTGTGCCCACGCCCTCTGCTTCGACTTCTGCTCTCACTGCTACTAGAACTACTGCTACTTTCTCGGCTGCTAGTTCCGCTACTGCTGCTACTGCTGCTGGAACTACTGCGACTACTACTGCTGCCACTGCTGGAACTGCTGCCACTACTACTACTTGTGGAGCTAGTACTGCTAGTGCTACTGCTAGTACTCCGACTGTGACTCTTGCTGGTTTTGTTCCTTGCTCGACCCCTGCTCCTACTCCTTACCTTACCTGCCGCTTCTACAGTTACTGCCTGCACTGGCTCTGCCTGAATTTCAGGCAGTTTGTCAGGCACTGCAGATTCATCTTTGTCTATCTGAGGCTCCTGATCTTGAATGGATTCCAACTGCGGTGGAGGCTGTGGCTGAACCACGGACTCTGACTGAGGCTGGGCCTCAGCCTCTGATATTGTGGGAGTGGACTCAGACTCCTTTTCTTCCACCTCCTCTGTTTCAACTTCAGCTGCAACTTCACCTTCTGACTTGCTGGCTTCCTCCTTTTCCAGGGCAACAGGCCCTTCCTGTTCTGGTTGGATATTACACTCCAGTTCTGGTTCCACTTCTTTGCTATTCTCATTTTCTAGTGGTTCTACATGATCTGCCTCACTAGTTTCCATCAGATCTTGTTCACCATCTATTGGCAGAATATCTTCCCCATCTTCTTTCACTAACACAACATCCTCCTCCTGATTTTCTTGGTGCCTATCATTCTCTTTCACCTCTGCTCCTTCTGCTGCTTTAACCTCCAATTCCTCTTTCTGTTCTTCCTCCTCCTGTTCTATCTCCCCATCACTATGACTAGCACCTACCTCTTTTTCCTCCGCTACCTCTTCCATTTCTACATCATTGCTCTGATTACCTGTCTCCATCTCTTCCACCTGCTGAACCACCTTACCCTCTTCCTGCTCCTTGTTCTGGTCTTCCTTCTTTTCTTCCTTCTTTACCTCCTGGTGTTCTTTTTCCTTCATAGATTGCCGTCTGGGCCTGGCCTCCATTTTGTTTATTTGCTCAGCAAATTCAATGCGTCTATTTTCAAAGAGTGCTGAAGAATGAGAGAACAAACAGTAAACTTGCCATGTGTAGCTAGAAGAATTTCAGTCTACTGACAGACCAGCTGAGCCATTCCATGCAATAGTCTGCAGAAAAATCAATCCATACAGAAACTTCAAATGTGCACAAATTCAGCATCATGTGCCAGCACCTGTGTGCATTTTGCAACTGTGTTCTTTTTGAAGGAACTCACTGCTCCCACTAGCTATTGAAGCTTTATATTTGTTACTGGCAGTGAGAATTTTAAACCAAATGACAGCTTCTCTGCTGTACATAACTTGCAATTAGCATTCCTACTTTCCCCCTCTAGTGATTCACTATTGAAAATTTGCATATATTTGCATATAAACCAGCATCCATTTAACACTCACAACATACCGTTTAACTTTTTTTGAGAATCCTCAAACAGCTTCTGAGTAGGAGGACACATTCTGCCAGGAATGTAGAACAGATGAGGCTTTGTCTTTGTTCTTATGTATTTAATTATTTTGGCATTATGTTCATTCCATTCTTCTTGCTGATGAAAATAAATTATTAGTTTCTTCAGTATCACACAAAACACAAATGTCACACAATAGCTTCTAAATTCAGACTCACCAACTGAGCAAGTTCAACTTTTTGTTCCAAAAGCCGCAGTTCTGTTTGTTTAGCACGTCTTTCCTCAAAGAGTTCTCTCCTTTCATTTTCAACTTGTTTTCTCTCTTCCTCTGCCTGTACTTCAAGTTTTTGTTCAATTTCTTGCCGTCTTTTTTGCTGAGTCAGACAAAAAATCAGATTCTTTTAAGAGTAGCATAATAATAACATTATCACTAATTGTACAATTATCACAGTATGCATATTTAATTAAATAAAGGTTCAAAATTAAATCACTATTCCAAATGCTATTTGGCTCAGAAAATTCCCTTACCATGGAGAGCCTCTCCCAATTTTGGACCAACCAACAGAAGATGTGAAAAGGGTTCTTCAGTTAAACAAGCTACTTTTAAAAAGCAAAGTACTTGGTTGGGTGCTGCACAGAGATGAATGCATCCTTTCCAAAGTCTTGGGATAGCCATATGCAGCCCTCAGATCACTACAGGTTGCCCATCTTGTATATGACTAATTCATTCTCCTTGGGTGCCATTCAACATCATGTTCGTTTATGGAAACTTTCTCTGCATCCTCTGTCCCCCAGATTCTTCAAGCCTCCTGGAATTGTTAGAGCATAACGGAACCCTCCTGAATGAGCTGAACTGTGGCAAGCAACTGAACGGATGAGAGATCTCTGGAAAGGGCCAAAGTCTCAGTCACTGGCAGGAGGACACTACTAGATATAATTCATAAACTGAATGTGTCGTTCTGATCTCTGTGATCCTGGAGGGAGATCAGCAGCGCACATGTTGTGGTTGCAGACGCAACTACTAATCCCAGAGGTTTATATAGCCTGGTGTATACTGTGCTAGACAGGATTACACTCCTCATGAAAACTCAGGCTAGAAGCTTGGGTGTTTTCCTGCATTCATCCTGGATACCCAGATTTCAGTGATAACTAGCAGAACATTTGCACAGCTAAAGCCAGTGTGCCAGCTGCATCCATTCCTTAATATGTCTGATCTAGCCACAGTGACACATTAATCGTGTCTAGTTTGGATTAGTGCGACACACTGCATATGAGCTGCCCGAGGAGCATTCAGAAATGTCACCAGGTCTAAATGCTTAAGACAGTCTGCTGATCTTTGTTACTTCACCTGTTGGCTGCCAGCCAGTTTTGAGACCCAATTTCATATGTGTTACAATCTATAAAGCCCTATATGGCTTGGGTCCAGGCTATCTGAATTATCGCATCTTTCTACATGAGCCTCCCCACTTTTCAGATCTTCAGGGCCATTCCCATTACTTTTACAGAGATGTCTGCTTATGACTTAAGACCCTTCTAGTGGCTCTTCCAGTCTACATAACTTCTTTCTAGAGAAGGCTACACTGACAACCCCTCTCCTGTCCTTCTGCTGACAAACAAAGGCTTTTCTCTTCAGGTAAGCTTTTGGCCACTAATCAGCTGAAATAGGGACTACCTTTTCTTTAAAATTCATGTCTCATGTGCATCTCTCTCTCTGCCTCTCTCTTTTGTATTCAAGTTTAACCATTATTTATTAGTACTGGAAGTTTCACTGAATTTTTAAAATTTGGGAAAAAAAGTGATATAAATTAAAATAAATAAAGCTTTCCGTGATGGTTGCAACAGTTAGGTTTAGGGTGATCACTTAAGGACCGTTTGTGTAAATCCCTAAATATGTTTAAATGACCTCTGAAAATAATATGCTTAGGAACTCTTTTGTTTGTCTTTCCACTTGCAAAATAACTTTCTGAATGTTAACAGTTTCAGAAAAGAAATAGTGCCAAAAATCTAATGGGCAAAGGATGTAAGTTTGTTCTCACAACATGCTACAGGAATTTCTGTTTGCATGAAAATTTTACAAATTTGCTCTCAATATGCTAAGTATTAAATCAATACCCTCTCAGTAGCAACTGTTGATTCTTGTTTGAACTTTTGAAGAGTACCCATCAACAGACCAAATATACGCCGATTCCTGACAGAAGAGAGGGAGAATGTATGATTAGAGCACATATTTTTATAAGTAGTTTATTATATCTACATAAACCATATTCAAACTATTGCAAGGGGACTAATTAGTTAATATTCACAAAAGTTGTTTAAAAAGCAATACAGGTGATATAAATATACTGTATACAGCAAATGAGAGAACAGGTGATAAAGCCAGTTGATTGATGTTTTAACACAAAGTGTTAAATTCTATTTATTTATTTATTTATTGTATTTATACCCAGCCTATCTAGTCGAATGATCACTCTAGGCGGCTTCCAACATACACAACACAACATATAAAATATAACATATTTATACATCAATATGCAGGTTATTCAAGATGAGAACAAAAAGAGAAAAAAAAAAACAGGAAAAAAGAAAAAGAAACGGGTATTAACTGGAGGGAAGGCCTGCGTAAACATCCAAGTTTCTACAAAGTTATTTCTGGCCAAACATCTTGGTTTAGATCAAATATATCCTGTGTACAGAAGAGTTTCTTTCAACAGCAAACTTTTGATCTCATGGAGGTTTCCCACTAGCTGAAGAGGATAGGGAGGTAACCTTTGCTAGTTCTCTGTCCTCAAAAGCCCTCAATATCTAAACCTGCTCTAAAGGGGCAAGGGGTTCTTGAGAACAGTGGGCAAAGTGGGATGAGGAAGGGGTTGATGAATAGGTGAAAAATGTTCCCTTTTTCTGCCAATGGAAAGCAGAATTCATTTAGAGATGCCCCCCAAGGCACAATTTCTAGACTCAACCCACTGAACAAAAGTTAGCTTTTAAAGTCTACAACATAAACAGTATACAAATAGCATTTTCAGAGTTCCAGAGCTGTCCCTTCCATAAGTGAGCCAGAAAACCCCAAACTAGAAGAGCATTCTCTACCTTTATGTTGCTTCCATGTCACTTCTTCACATAGCACAAAAAGCATCCTACTGCATTGTGAGAGGCACAAGGATGCCCTTAAACTCACAAAGGTGCAAGGAAGGTGAGTTCTGACCCTAACTGGGAATGCATGGAGGCAGCTTCCGTTGGATCTCACTTCACCATACCCTGTACCTCTGTGAGGTACAGTGGGGTCTTGACTTGAGACCTTAATCCGTATTGGAAGGCGGTTCTCAAGTCAAAAAGTCTGTAAGTCAAGTCTCCATTGACCTACAGTGCATTGAAAACCGATTAATCCCGTAACAGGCCGTTTTTGTTCCATTTTGGTTTTTTTCTGGTCTGTAAGTCAAATCTCAGTCTGCAAGTCAAACCTAAATTTTGCGGCCAGAGACGTCTGTAACTGAAAAAGTCTGTAAGTCAAGCTGTCTGTAAGTCAAAGGTCCACTGTACAGGGAATGGTTACAACTCCCACAGTGCAGCAGAGTGCTTCTCTCACCATCTGAAGAAACAAAGGTGTGGTAATGGCATGAAGGTAGTAGAGAAGGCTGCTCTAACTCCCTGTTTTGGAAGCTTTAACTCCCATAATTCTGCCTGGAGGATTCTGGTGAAATTATGGGACTAAAGTCTTGGAATTCAGAAAGTCCCATCTCTAAAATTATGCGATTTGCACAGAAGATTCTCTAAAGCTGAAAAAGAAACCTTTTCATTTATTTAATAGATTTGATCTTAGTATTTAGAATGGAAAGTAGATTTAAACTTGAATTATATTAAGCATCTTAAAATGCAGACTGGATTTAACAGTAAAGAATCAACACAAAATTTATGGGTATTCATAAAACTGAAGCCATTATCTTAAAGCATCCAAAGTCAGCATTTAAGTATGCCAAGTTACATAGCTTTGCTGCATAAAATTGAACTTACAAGGAAAACAGGTTTTCTAAGCAAAACAGAAGATGCACAGCACAAAAGCTGACATGGCTTCTTGTGGCTGTAGGTATCAGGAGCCAAAAACCACAAATTCTTCAGACTTTTCAAACTTCCATTTTGTAAGAGGATAATTCAAGACTACCTGAATGACTGCAAACTAGTTTATACCATGTGGTCATTTAAGCTTTGTACTTTGCTTCTTTTATTGATTAGCTCATTTGTATCTCACCCTTCCCCTTATAAGTCCCCTAACTGAAAGCAATGGTCCAAGATTATCCAATAGGTTTTGTGGCTCAGTGAGGATTAAAATTCGAAAATGTTCAACTGCAGAAATCCAATCTCAAGTGATGACTATTTTTGTTTTTAACAAAACAGAAGTTTCTTGTAAGTGAGGCTAAAATGTCTCCCAGCAGAGACTGACAAAGAAACATTTATATGGCTGAATAGTAAATTTTCTGTCGAGTCTTTTCATGGACACACGAATTCATAATTTTTAAAATTAAGATTTGCCTTCTGTTTGCATTTTTACCTTACAGGAATACTTATGAAGTCTGAAATTAGTGTGTCTTTTTTGTAACTGAAGTCTTATTTTGACTTGTGCACAAAATGACAATTCAACTTTGCAAAGAAACTTAAAAGAATTAACTAGCTGTAGACTTAGGTTTACCACTTTCACATCTTACAAACAGCAACTTCTCATTAAGTTGCCTGGTGCAATACATACATTGAAAAAACAGGCTGGGACTATATGAAATATATGATATCTGGAAGTTGAATCATGGCAAGTAAACTTCTTCCTTCTTAGGTTGAAACATTTCACTACTCATCTAAGTTTCTTCTTCAGACTAAACAAGCTACTTTGATGAGTAGAGATGCATTTCAACCTCACAAGAAAGAAGTCCAGTTGCAATGACTCAACTTTCAGATAACCTCATCTGGATGACTGAGAATCTTCACAGAAACATGTGATAGTACAGTGGTGCCTCGCTTAGTGATTGCCTCGTTTAACAATGTATTCGCTTAGCGATGAGGTGTTTGGAGCAATTTTGTGCTCCGTTTAGCGATGTTCCCTATGGGGAAATTTCGCATAGCGATGTTCGGGACCTTGCCTCGCTTAGCGATGACATTTTTATGTCCCGTTTCGCTTAGCGATGTTCCGTCTTCGCTATTTTTAAAGTGTCTTAAAATGTTCAAAAACGGTTTTAAATGCTTGGGAT